GAATGTCCTATATATATATATACACACACACACACACACAGGCAAACCCTTAACGAAAACAGCGTGTAGAGCGATTTTTTCTAAAGCGAACCCCGTTGGAATTATATTTTTAGAGCTAATAGCTTTTAAATGGGAGGCGATTGAAAAAAAGGTTCCAAACTACCCCTAGAATGCTACAGCTCGGCTGTATGAACGCGCAGTGTTGCCACATTATGATTGTGCTGAGTCAGTAAGCAGTGAGGTACCGTCAGTATAGCTGTATACAAGGGTATATCCACACGTGCGCAAGAGCGTCTGCTATTGTGCTTCTGTGTGTAATGTAAAGGTTGGATGTTATAGGTTAACATTGTCTGCTCCTTATACTGTCATATTTTAAAGTCATTCGATCATCCAATCATCGGGTTTCAATGTAATTGCATGGATACTATAACAATTAGCTACAAAATCATGCAACACCGAGATTGTTATGAGAAATACTTATCACCTACTGAAAAAATTATTCTAATAATAATAGTAATTTTTTAAATGTGGTAGTTAATTGGGAAGTAGTATCCCCTTTTAGATTAGTAGAATCACAGCTTGTTTATAAATTTTTATCAATATTATCAAGTTTTAGGAGAATGCTTAATGTACGGCAAAAACTGCATATGTGCTGGGCATTTTTCACAATATTTACTAACCATTTTCAAACTATACTTTAGTTACGTCCAAAACTTTAATACCTGGCAATAACTCGTCAAGTGCTCGACAAGTATCCGACAAGAACCCATCAAGTGCCCGCCAAGTTCCCGGCAAGTACCCACCAAGTAACCGCCAAGTGCCCGCCAAGAGCCCGGCAAGTGCTAGCTAAGTACCCAGCAAGTGTCCGCCAAGTACCCGTCAAGCACCCACCAACATATAAAAAATTACTATTATTACTATAATAATTGTTTCAGTAGGTGATAAGTTTTTCTCATAACACTTTTGCTGTTGCATGATTTTGTAGCTAATTTGTATTGTGTGTAATTTACATTACATACAACAGTGCAATAGCAGACAATCTTGCGCACGCGTGGATATACCCATGTATACAGCTATACTGACAGTACCTCACTGCTAATCGACTCAGCACAATCACAATGTGGCAATGCTGGGCGTTCATACAGCCACGTCGTAGCATTCCAACTTCTAGGGTGGTTTGGAACGTTTTTCTAACAGCCTTCTATTTCAAAGCTATCAGCCCTAAAAATATAATTCCAACAAGGCTCACTTCAGAAAAAATCACTTTACACCTTGTTCTCGGGAGATGCTACCTGCCATTACGTATCAGCCTGTATATATATAT